CAAATTTAAATTATTGTTACATGACAAATTACTCATTAATAAATTTAAATCATATCTTATTTTATTCTCCTGTGGCCAACCCTGTATGTAAGTCAATGTAAACAAGATAATTTTATGTACATTTAAAGTATTGAGGTAATCAATATATTTTAATAATTGATTTTTGGTTACATTTCCTCTTCTCCCAACAAGAATTATTAATGTGCTATTAGGACTAGCTAAAAATTTATTCATTATATGACTAAAGGATGCTCCAGGCATACAATAATTACTAATTACCTGTCCTTTTAAATGGTTATTTAACATCATTCCCAAAATTTTACCTGTGTCATCACAATACATAATAACAATACATAATAAATGTTTTTTAATATTTAAATTACTTTTTAAGTTTTTATTCTTTGTTATGGCACTGTCATAGAGTGTGGGTGACAATCAGGAGTGACTACTATTTACACATATTGTCCCCGATGAAAATGGTCTGGAGCGCTGATTCTCACTCTGATGTTTTATTAAGGAGTCAAAGCGCTCCTCATTGTATTTACATGACTTTACCAGATCATTCATGGCCAATATGTGTTCTTTTATCTCAACCTGAGCCAATGCATATTTATTTGAGATAATTTGTAAGGAGTTTTTAAGCGACAAAACTTCTGAATTGAGACACTCTATTTCAGTCTTATAACAGTTTTTCATATTTTCCATCTCAATTGAATATAATTTAAGTTTATTAATTCATGCTTTTCCTTACATATATTTACATAATTTTTATATTAATTTTAGTTTTAATTAACTTTTGCACTTTCCTAACATATTTATTAATTTTTATATATTTCTTTAATTTCCTTCTACTGCATGTAATCCTTTTTGCTGTTCTTGATGTGACAAAATCATCACCAGTCAAATCGATTGTTGTGGACGGTTGCAATGTTTTTAAAGATTTACATTCTATGAGCTCATTGAACAGACTTTGAGTTTGGGACACTTTCAATTCATCTGAATATTGTTTTAATTGCACAATCTGCTCATTAGCGTCACTTATCTGTAACTGCAATGCAGCAATTAATCTGAGGGATTCCTCATATTCCTTGCTGCATCGGTCAAACTCATCGACTGTTCCCTGAAGCTGATCCTTTTCTTTTAAAACATTTGTATGGTCTTTATGCAACTTAACCATATCACTTTTTAGTTGAGTATTTTTGGCAATTATATTCATTATTTCCTTTTCATTGTCATCCCTTTCTTTAAGCAACCCTGCTCCTTTGACGCCTTAGTTCCAGAAGCGCCATTTGAAGTTAGTTCTCCATTTGGCGCGTTTTGGCGTTGCGTGTATTCATTTTACTATTATGTGTAAATAGCAAAAGAAAACAAAGAAAGAAAACCGAAGAAACAGAGTAAGCTAATATCTAGATCTATGGGTCTACTTACAGATCTCAAATTAAATTATCAGGTAAATAATTCAAATTGAAATCCGAAACAGCACTTATTTAAAAGGTAAATCTTAAAATATTGAAGGGGTAACAAGAATTACACTAACTTACAGAAAGTTCAAACGATGTACGTTACAGCTATCACTTTTAGTTGAAACATAAAACACTATTTAATTAAAATACTTATGACTTTCATTTATTTTACAAACACAATTAAGTCTTATTTAACAACCGTAACTAGAAATTGAGGTGGATATTAACAATGTACAATATTTAATTTTATAAAATAGTTGGGAGCTATTATTTTACAACTTTTCATTAGGGTTGCCACAGAGTAAGTGCTTAGAATTTCTGACAGGGAGGCCGTATGGAAGGAGAAGGAGCTCCACGGGAGGAGGACAGTCGCCTCCCTCAACTGTCTACGTGTCAGTGACCTCTTCGGGGAAACCGAGGATTTTTCTGTGCAATACAGGATCAGGTTATTAAGACTAACAACTATCGGAGATACATCCTAAAGGATGGCACCGTCGACGTCTGTCGAGCTTGTCGCCAGCCCGGTGAGTCGCTTAGGCATGTCATCTCCGGTTGTTCGGCGCTTTCGAACTCTGAGTACGTGCACAGACACAACCTAGTAGCCAGAATTCTACACCAGGAGCTCGCTCTGAAATACGGTCTCATGGACCGGAAATTGGCGTATTACAAGTACTTGCCGGAAGCCGTGCTCGAAAATGACCGCACCAGGCTGTACTGGGACCGAGCCATCATCACAGACAGGACTATTCTTGCGAATAAGCCTGATATTGTGCTGGTGGACCGGGCACAGTCAAGGAGTCGTCTCTACGAATGGGCTAATCCCAGTCAGCCTCTCGGGTCATCTGAGGCGACTGGGACTCCGTGACGGACCGCTCCGGGCTCAAATGCAGAAGGCAGTGCTCCTCGATACCGCCCGCATCGTCCGCCGGTTTCTTTCCCTTTCCTCCTAACTCTCGGCCGTCTGGTCCCCCCCTGCTGAGGGCTTCCATCTGGTTGGATCTTTATTTATTTATGTATTTTTTGTATTTATTTTATTTTATTGATATTTATGTAAATTTGTCTTTTCATTTTGATTTATAATTATATGTTTATAGAACCCAACCAGATGAGAAAACTATATATATACCCCAAAATAATAATAACTATTTTATTTCAGACGTAGATCCATATAAGTTGTTAGTAATACATTGTGCACCTTAAATACTAATGTTAGTTCCTTAAATATGTGTAATCACTTTTCAACAAATCGTTCCAATAATCTAGCGTATGCCCGTCACATCTTTCGGTGAACACTTTAATTATACTGTTGCAGCTGCCACGTGTTTTGCTTTACAGCGAGTACACTCTTTTATGCATTATTGCGAAGAAGTCATCTGTTCGTATTTCTTCAAACATCTCTGATGCGCTACAAAATTGAGGCAGCCCCAACAGGGCCCTGAAAATGTTATTATATAAAACACGAAGGTCACTGCGCTTTGTATACGTTGTCCATAAGCTGCATGCATAAAAAGATTGACAGTAGGTTATAAAGAGTGTAATCTTAACTTGTTTGCTGCACCGCGCAAACCTACGAATCAACATATTTCCACGGATCGACAGTGCCCTTCGCTCCCTCTCGATGTCCATATCATCTTTACAATTTTCAGTTATATAGTGGCCTAGATATTTAAACCCTTTAACTCTTCCTAGGGCAGTGCCATTAAGCAAAATAGGAGGCACATTCTTTGGACACTATTTTCCATCTCTAAATACTATAAACTGGCTTATTTTAGCATTGTGTACTAAACCATGTCTAACAGCATAATCCTCACAAACGCGTAATAATTTTCTAAGAGCACTAACAGACGGGGCAAGCATAGCATCCGATATACATGCTGAATGATGATGAATGATGATTAGGTTCGGTGAGCTTAAACCCCCTTGTCTCACCCTATATACGGATCGAAAAACGTATCTGCTCATTTGACATTATTTATTTGATTTTTGTACCAAATACTTGAACATGGCAACAAGTTCAGCAAGTATCTCTGTTTTCCTCAACTTACTCCACAATATTTCATGGGACACCATATCGAAGGCTTTTGACAAGTCTAGAAAACAGGCATACACAGGTATTTTTCTGTCCATGTAGTACTCAACGGTTCGCTTAAGGGCCAAGATGGCACTCTCTGTTGAAAGTTATGAGTTTTGAAGTTAATTAGTTTTGTTTTCGCAATGCTTATTTTAATTTGTTTATGTTTAACTATTGGATAACATGTTCTAACGTTTTATATATGTATTTCCGTGTCATAAGAATCTATATTTTTACAGTCCGTAATGATAGTCGTGTCGTCTGAAAACAAGACACAATCATGTGTGAGTGCACGTGGAAGGTCATTGATGTAAATAAGAAATAACAGGGGCCTTAAGATGCTACCCTGTTGTGTTATGTTGTTACTATATTATTTGTTCCAGTATCAAATTTTGTAATCCTAGCGAATTGTTTCCCGTTTTTCAAATACGACTGAAACCATAACAAAGAAGATCCCCTTATTAACATTTATCAAAATTTCAAATCGTAAAACCATAAAGATCTTTGCAAATCATTTGCAAAGATCTTTATGGTTGATATTATTAACGATGCTGTTTATTAAGGCGAAGGTTGCGTTGAACGATATTTCCTGAAACCAAATTATTCTGGTCCCAAAATATCATATTTATCTAGGAAATTTTCCAAAAAAATATCTCTCTCTATTATAAAGCTCGTAGATAGGACCGGGGTTACAACAATAGGCCTATAATTATTTTTGTCTAATTTTGACCCTTTATTGTGTAGCGGCTTTATTATCGACAACTTAAGTTTGTTTGGAAAACATCCTTGTTCAAAAGATAGATTTATAATGTGAGTCAAAGGTTCCGATATAAGTAGAGCAATACGTTTCAATAAATCGGAATTAATTTCGTCATACCATGCCGACTTTGAATTTTTCGATTTTATACGAGATAGTATATTTCGAAAAATATGGAATCATGTAATATAATATCCAATTTTAATTATAATCTAATATTTAGGCGTATAATTTAAGAGTGATTGTGTGTGAAGGGGTTCAAGAGTGCGTGTGCGCTGCGTATGTGTGTATTTACCTGAAATATTATAAATCAGTGTATTTTCCTACTAAATGCATCATATTGTAGATACGGACAATAACGAGTACTTGTTTTTTTCTTCTTAATATTTAAATATTTCATAATAAATTCACTTGAGGTCATTCATTTAAAAGTTTAATGTGATCGACATCAAATCCACGAAGTCGGTCTTACGATTTGTTTATTACTGTTGTGTTTTTTGTACCATATTTCTGAGAACATAAACCGCAACGCACATCTATTGCTAAGTAGTTTTTTAGAACACCAGTCGAAGCTTAGTTGGTTTTGTACCAGTATGTCATCACAGTTCGATCACATCAGCGTCGTTAATGAAGAAGTAAATCCGGCAAAGAGAAAACTACGAAAATAGTTGTGTTTTGTAATTTTCGTAAAAATTTGTGGTTAATAATGATGAGAAACATGCGTTTGATTTATGTAGCTGTGTTTTATTTTTTTGGTTTTGTTACAGGTATGTAAAATATCCAATAACTTTTCTTTTGTAAATTTAAGAACGATAATGACCTTGGATTATGAATAAGTATTAAAATTTTATTTCAAGAAGAATATTAATACATTTAAAATACGTTTCACATTGGAAGACACGGAGTTTTTCAAAAAAAATTACCAATGATATTTTGCTTATTATTTTACCAGTATTTTTATATTCAGGTATAAATTTAAAGAACTAATAAAATTCTTTACGAAATAAGTGTTAGTGTACCTAAGTTATATTGCACGAAACAAGAAACCTTTCTGAGATCTATTAAACATACAATGAAATCAGCTCTTCTGCAAGGTTTGGTAGCGCCACACTGCAGCTATATTATGGTTGTGGTACGAATGGGTCGGCTCGACCGGTGCAGGACCATGCTCTCACAGAATACCAGCGTAAAATAGCAGCTTAATGCTGCTGTGTTTCGTATATAGTGTAAAGAACCGGATACCCTTTTTAGTGGAATCGAGGCATTCCATCTTAGCCTTAGGGATGACAACGCATCTTCATTTTGATTCTTGATCGAGGTTAAATGTGGATGTCTATGGGCCACAGCATCCACTTACCATCAGGTGGACTGTTTGCTCATTTGTCACCATTATTCTATAGAAAAAAAAAGATGGAGATTATTTCTATTTTTTTTTTGTACAAATAAGTTAATGTTTTGCATGTGTATGCAGCATGTTTTCTTTGTCATTACCTACAAAGCTGTAGTTTTCTTATTATAGTGGCCCGTTAGAAAATAAATTTAAATATACACTTTTACAAAACTTTTAAAAAATAAATAAAAAACACGCATTGATCATAAGCTGTGATGATTCTAAAGAGTGAGAGGTGATCCTTATTAGGATGGTAGGATAAAGTTATTAAATTATTGTATTTTCATCGGTTCTTGATATGAGTGCAAATTTTCTAGTCAATTTGCGTATAAGTTGGTGGAAATTATATTAAAAGATTCCGTTACATATGTTGTTTTTCAAACAGTAGGCAAATTTTAAACTTAAGTTTAAATATATAAATAATTATATACTGTTAATGCAGCTTTTGAAAATAAGTGTAAATAAGGATTCTACTTTTATTTGAAATTATCACAAATTGAATGTGATTTATGGGCAACAACGATTTTGCCTACCGATCGATCCTTACGAATGTGTGCGTTAACAGTAAAATTGGTAAAATCAGTTAAAATAATGCATTCAAAACATAAAAGAGACAGAACTTTTGAGATTTGAAATTAATTTTTCTTCTCCATTTGCCTATATTACTTATACTGAACCTTCCCTGCAAATTTGGCCGCTTATTGCAAAATTACCCTGCATAGATAGATACGCGCGAAACTTGAAAGAAAAGCGTGTTAAAAGATGATGATATTTCATTTTTTAATTTACTTAAAGTTATATTGCATCATGCAATAACTCTTTCTCATAAAAATACTACCTAATGCGACACAATTGCTCTTCCACAAGGTGGAGTTTATTTTCTGGTGTGGTAGAGCCACGCTGCAGCTATATTATGGTTGTAGCACGAATGGGTCGGCTTGACCGGGGAAGAACCACGCTCTCACAGAATACCAGCGTAAAATAGCAGCTTAATGCTTTTGTGTTTCATATGGTAGACGGTAGAGAACCGGAGACTTGTTTTACTGGAATCGAGGCATCTTAGTCCTCACGGGTGACAACGCATCTACATTTTACTTCTTAATCGATATTAAATGTAGATGCCTATGGCCACAGCATCCACTTACCATCAGTTGGACTGTGTGATCGTCTGTCACCCTTAAAAAAATTACCTATTCCTGACATCAAACAGCTGCGTTTCACCGGTTTTAACAGTACAAGGACTATAATTATTACAGACTGTGACCCATGGGTATTAACAGATCTGTGTCCTTCTTTGATATTTTAAGTGGCAGGTAGATCTACATAGCTGTCGTGTACTAAAAGAAAAAAAAAACACTTTATAAAGATTACTTGTATCACTTTTATTTACGTATACCTAAGATCATTAAGGATGTAGTTCCAGTGCGTGATAGATTTATTACCTACACTTTGCATTAAGGTCACTTATCAGTCTTAAATATTATATGCAAATTTATACAACATAGCTACGGATTTAAGAACTATATAAATTATTATATTATCTACATGCGCGAGGTATTATAACCAAGTTATATTTAGAGCTAACACTGTTATTTTTTTATGAGGAGCGATTTGGTTTTTAATGTTAAATATCAAGCCCCGTGATATGGAAATCTTACGTAATTGGATGTAATTTAATTTTTAATATTAAAGACGTTTAAAAAAAGTAATGAAATCATACAGTCGTGTCAGTTTTCTAATTCGTAGTGAATCACAAAATCTACCAACATTTAAGATCAGAAAATTTAAAAACATATTATTAATGAATTTTCACCAAAGACGGGTCTCGGTGACTCGGTGTATAGATATAAGCAAGGAAGGGTACGAAATTTTCATGTAACACAAAAATTAAGACCAGACACCATAACTTTTAACGAATTAGATTGTATGCCAAAACTTCGTAGTATTTTTAATCGTTTAATCAAAAAAGGTTTGTTCTTTAAAAGGAGTACGTATTTCCAACCTCAATGACTCCTGTATAAGGTGCCTCTGTTATGTTGCAGGCTGCGATTTGTCACACGGGTGCTCTCAGGGCTACTGCGGACCTTTCTACATATCCAGGGTATACTGGGTTGACGCTGGAAAGCCGACGTTACCTGAGGATAACCCAGAAAGAAAAGAAGGTAAGTAATGTATTCCTGATAATATTTAAATAATTTTTTATATAAATTTGAAGTTACAAACGATTTTACAGTCCACCTGATGGTGAGTACACCTTCAAGTAAAGAAGGCTACAGACCTGTCACCTCTGAGAACCAAGATGGATATCTCACAGCCTGGATTTATACTGTCTCCCTGTACCCTTTAGACCGGAACATAGCAGTGCACGCACTGCTTTTTCGTGGCATGCACGCTTTGCTGCAGCGCGGTGGACACTTCCTCGCCCTATAATCTTCTCAGAAATAATATCTGTGCCCAAGAGTGGGATAAATAAAGGCTGTAACTTAATTTTACTTTACTTTTACTATTTAAGAGGTCCATAGGCTTCTAAAAGGGGGTTCTAGAAAGAGGTTTCTAGAAGGAGGCTTCTAGAAAGAGCCTTAAACGAGACCATTAACATAACAGGGAATAGACCGATTAGCTGATGGAAAATACTGCAGCATATGCTATTACAATATCTTGTACTGCTGTTTCTTGGCTTTGTGGTTTTCGTAACTTCATGTAGCCGTGCCGTGGTAGCTCAGATGGTTAGCGCTCGCTGTAAATATCACAGTACGCGAGCAAACTGGGTTCGATCCCCGCCGGCACCAATGAAATTGTTAATTGCAATTTTAAGTGCTGATTTACCACGTGCTCAGCGATGAAGGAAAACATCGTGAGGAAACCTGCATGTGTGACAAATAAGAAAATTAAATATATTTCGAAAACATGTGAAGTTCGCCAAAATGCATTGGGGCAGCGCGGCGGACACTTCCTTGTCTTAAAACCCTCTCAAAATGAGGGGAGGCCTGTGCCAAGCAGTGGGACGTATATAGGCTGTAACTTTAAATGCCATTACCATATCTTGTACTGCTGTTTGTTGCCTTTGAGGACTTTGTAACTTCATGTACCTCGGAACTCTGTGTTCATGATTGATCGGTTTATCAGGTCTAAAATTTAATGATGTTACACTACGACAACTGTCAAGTTAGACTTTTCATCAACTGCGAAAAAAATATTATAGTATCGTGACTGCCACGTGATCCCGGGTCCGAAATTAGTTTCTTATTGAGTTTTCATTATGTATTATGTATATTGGGATGCCACGAGTGAGGAAGTTGATGGTGTTGCAACCCCGTTCGGCTACGGTCGGTCGCATTGCGTCCTCTCGGAGTAACCGGGAAAGTAAGGGAACAGAGAGTGTACGTGTGTTTACACAATACACTCGTGCACTATAACCCTGCCCTGTGCAAATGACTATACTCTCTAATTATTATAGAGTAGTGTTATAGCGGCGTCCGAGAGTTTCACTATCACCACATTTTTTCTTGTGGATGTGGTAAGAGGCGACTATGGCAAATGCTAGAAGTATCTAATCTGTAAAAGATATTATACGTGATAGAGCCATGTTGCAGTTATATTAGTAGTATATTTATAGCACAAATGGCTGGGTACGATAGGTACGACCACGCTCTCACAGAATACCAGCGTAAAATAGCAGCTTAATGTTGCTGTGTTTTGTATGGTGAGTGTAGAGAACCGGAGACCCTTTTTACTGGAAACGAGGCATTCCATCTTAGTCCTCATGGGTTTTTCACTGCATTTTGATTCTTAATCGAGGATAGATGAAGATGACTATGGGCCACAGCAACCATTTACCATCAGGTGGACTGTGTGCTCATTTGTCACCCTATCCTATAAAAAAAGATCTAAAAGCTTCCGACAGATTACGGTATAACCATCTCTTTTTTTATTCATATATATCAAAATTTTGGTATATGTTTTATGACTATATGATCTTGGATTTTTAAAAAAGAAAACACCATAACATGTTATTTTCTTAAAAGAAAAAAATGTAATGTAGGCTCTAATTAGTTACATTTCTTCATGCCACCACAATATGTTTACTTATTAATTCACGGAATTCTTTTTAAAGCATAGTAAATAATCACATCAGAGTTCCTATAAACACTTTTTTAATCATTAACGTAGTTTTATGAAAATGAAAGTTGTATGGCGTTTACCTAGTTTATTTCCTGTGTGCTCGGTATAGCTATCTCATAATTTGCGTACATGAAGTAATAGTGTCACTTTCAATTTGACACTCCCTCAGTCGTCCGTGAGCTTCATTAACGACGGGAAAGGCGACGCCTATAAAACGATGATTCAGTTTCAAGGTATCCTCTTAATTAAAAATTCAAACTATGTACTTTAAATCATTTCAGCTTTTTGTTCTATTTTTCCAAGAAACAGTGACAATTGAACACCTTCCATCTGATGGTAAGTGGACAATACGAAGTGCAGAAACATTATGCTGCTTTACTAGGTGGTACGACTTCTTTTCTTTCTAGAGGTTCGTCTGGACCGGTGCCACTTAACTATTATCTTATCTGTTTCTGCCTTCTATTTCTTTCTGGTCTAAACCCAGTTAGCCAGTATAATAAGAGGCTTTGAGATTTCATCTTAGTCTTTAAAAGCGACTACGCATCTGTGGCCTTCTTTGTTTGAAGTTGACTTCGGATATCGGGGTACTACCATAGAATACTATAATACACAATAGAATGGGTGTCAACCTTATTTTGTACGAAGATAGACGTCGCCGGGAGCACACATACAAGCAATTACGTCGTATTATCAGTTAATCACTACTACATACTCGATTCGCTGTGTCGACAGACGGATTTTAATACATATTTATTTGTAAATAAAAAATTTGTAAATAAAAATAATTTGCATGCGAAATTTGGAAACGATTGTAACGTCAAAACACATCTCGTGTTGACATTTATACGTGTGAATTGACGTGTTAGCGGCATTTAAGTGGCTACACGGCACATTGGTTATCTGTGCTACACGGGCTCCGCCCACTCCCTCGTGCAAGTATGGTCCCTCCCCGATCGAGCTTACATATTCCTACTATAGTTATAATACGGTAAGTTACTTGAATTGAGATGGTGGTTGTCCTCACTGATACTTTCTTACTGTTACCGTTACAGGCTGTTGAAAGTCCATTACTGAACATAGGCCTCCCGAATAGATATTTTCCTATATTCTTAATCATTTATAATTTCGTAAAATATCCAAGGCTTGCGTAGAAGTATTACATAATTCATTAAATGTTTCAGCTTTCGAAGATTGCGCGAGGGACTATCACTGTTCAGTGAAAATCGTCGAAAATTATATGGCGCGATTTGGAAAGGTAATGTTTTTTATTTAAGCACGAAACCTTTTTTCTTTACTTTGTTTAACTTATCTTTCTCAGACCAAATATTAAAATTGAATTAGCATGGGGAATAATCAAGTGAAGCCAAAGAAGTTCCGAATAGCGAAATTCAGTATTGTCTTTAGTTTGCCAATGACTTTGAATTTGATGACTTTTGTACGAATATGCGTTACGACATGTAAGTATATAAATTATTTTCAAATATAACTTACTTTCAAGCTGGTACTTTAAAACAATAGATGTATTTTGATGATGATGAAAAGTTTTGCCATCTTTTCCATCCATCCATTTTGGGCCATGGAAAAAGTATTTCTTGTTATTTCCGAATATGAGTTCCGTCTAGGTACCGAGGTACTGTTACGCGCTCCAGTCAACGATCCACTAGCGCCATCTAGTGTCAGGAACGAGAGCGAGGGGGAGCATTGAGAAAATGACATCACAAATTACTCAACCGACAGCGCCTAGTCGAAACTCGAACGCTCGGTACCTTGCCCGTGTTTACTTGAACATTCTGGATATTTCTTTGATAATTAAATATATAGGCGCTGCAAGGCGACGAGGCAGTGTTGATTTGGGCGAAACAAGCGAAGCTTCGGAGTGGAATTAAGTGAATTAGTGTGTTTAAATTATTAGTGTTTTAACTTTAATTGTGTAAAGTAAATTAAAGTGTTAATTTAGGTAATTTTATCGGCAATTTTTATTGTCACGAACCTCAAGCTCGTAACAATTGGTGTCAGAAGTGGGATAAAATCATGCCGATTTTACCTAAGGAGGAAACGGAGGGTGTCCGTACCCGAAGTCAACGCCAGCAGGAGACGGACCAACGAAGATTTGGTGGTGCAACGCCGCAGACGTTGGAGGGCCAGCCACCGGCTGCAGGCCCGTCGGTAGCTCCTACATCTGCAGCACCTGACTTAGGTGCTCTGATGGTGATGCTGCAGCAGCTGCAGAGCGGACAGGATGAACAGGCCCGTCGGTTAGCAGATCAGCAGGCTGAACAGGCTCGCCGACAGGAGGAACAGGTCCGTCGGTTGGAGGAGCAGCTGCGGGGTGGACAGGATGAACAGGTTCGTCAGCAGGCGGAACAGGTCCGTCAGTTGAAAGAGCAGCTGCAGAGCGGACAAGAGGAACAGGCCCGCCGACAGGAGGAACAGATGCTTCTCATGAAGGACCTTCACGCTACCTTCGGGAAAGAGATAAGGGAGGTGAAAGATAAGGTTGCTCAACATGAAAACCGCCTGTCGGAAGCTGAAACCCGAATTGACCTAGTGAACAATCGGGTTGACAACGTAATGGCTGACATGAGGAAATCACTTGACGAACTCAAACTTGGCGAGGGAACTTCAGTTCCCGTAGTAGCTACTACACCTTCGCTACGTGGGTTCAAGGTGCCACCATTCGACGGGACTTCTTCCTGGTCAGCCTACAAAATCCAGTTCGAGTCTGTTATGAAGGCGAACGGCTGGAATAAAAGTCAGGCCATGACTGCTCTCACACTAGGCCTGCGCGACCAGGCCTTAACAGTTCTGGAAGCTCTCGGTGAGGAAGTGACTTATGAGCAACTCCTTGAGGCATTGGAGGCGAGATATGGCGACGCTCACCTGGAACACGTCTTTCGTGCGCAACTTAAAGATCGTGTGCAGCGCATCAACGAAAACCTGCAGCAGTGGGCTCTAGAAGTGGAGAAGCTGGTGCGAAAAGCATACCGGTCTGTACCTGCGCTCATTGAAGGGAACCTGGTGCAGACATTCATCGACGGCATCCGCGACCTGGAAGTCAGAGCTGCTGTGAGGCTCGGGCACCACGAGACGCTTAAGAACGCCTTGGCCCATGCACTGGAAGTGGAAGCCGTGCGGCAGGATCATCGTTCCCATCGCGTCAGGGAGGTTGCGGCAGCTACAGTTCGCGACCGCAACAAAGGATACAGCCCTAGGTGCTATGGCTGTGGGGAAAAAGGCCATCTTCGAATCAGCTGCCCTAAGCGAACCGTGGAAAGGAGAGTTGATCGATCTCGAGAGGGTAGTGCAGCTAACGACACTGCCTGGCGGCGACAGGATCATCGTTCACCTCACGCTAGGGAGGTTACAGCAGTTACGGTTCGCGACCACAATAAAAGATACAGCCCTAGGTGCTATGGCTGTGGGGGAAAGGGGCCATCTTCGGTCCAGCTACCCTGAGCACACCCTACGAAGGGAAGGTGAACGGTCTCAGAAAGGAAGTGCGGCTAACAGCACCGCCCAGCAGCAGCAGGAATACGACTTTACTATCAGACACTGCAGCGGGAAATCTCACGGCAACGCAGATGCATTGTCAAGAAGACCTTGTCCTGAAGATTGCAACCATTGTAGTAGGCAAGAGAGTAAGGAGGTGGTATCCGTGAGGATGCTCAGGACAGACCACCTCAGCAACGGGTGGAAGGACAACCTACGACATGCACAGCAGGAAGATCCGGACATCAAGCCGATTCTGGGATGGATGAAGGCCCGTGCTACCAAGCCTAAGTGGAGGGACGTCTCAGCGATGAGTTCAACCACGAAAAGCTATTGGGCCCAATGGGACAGCTTGCTGATTCAGGATGGTGTCCTGTGCCGTAAATGGGACAATGGTCGAAGAGACAGCTGTCGTTTGCACATGGTTGTCCCTAAAGCTAAAGTGCCGAATGTTCTACAGTTGTGCCATAATGGTCGTTCAAGAGTCCATCTGGGAGTTAAACGAACTCTACTGAAGGTCCGAGAACAGTTTTACTGGGTCCATTATCGTGACGATGTCGAGGATTGGTGTCGTACATGTACAAGTTGTGCGGCCGAGCGGGGACCTCGGACACGTAGTAGAGGAGCACCGAAATTGTACAATGTTGGTGCACCACGGGATAGGACAGCCCTTGACATTGCGGAGCCGTTACAGAAAGGCGCAAGAGGGACTCCTAAGATCGTCCATGTGAATCGCTTGGCGCGTTATTATGGGGCCGATAATGCTCGGGACGAGCATGTCTTAGGAGGGGGCAGTGTTACGCGCTCCAGTCAACGATACACTAGCGCCATCTAGTGTCAGGAACGAGAGCGAGGGGAGCATTGAGAAAATGACATCACAAATTACTCAACCGACAGCGCCTAGTCGAAACTCGAACGCTCGGTACCTTGCCCGTGTTTACTTGAACATTCTGGATATTTCTTTGCTAATTTAAATATATAGGCGCTGCAAGATGCGATCGAGGCAGTGTTGATTTGGGCGAAACAAGCGAAGCTTCGGAGTGGAATTAAGTGAATTAGTGTGCTTAAATTATTAGTGTTTTAACTTTAATTGTGTAAAGTAAATTAAAGTGTTAATTTAGGTAATTTTATCGGCAATTTTTATTGTCACGAACCTCAAGCTCGTAACAGTACCAATGCTATGCAGACATCACACATATTAAACAAATTCCAATTTCACACTTAACATTTGGACGACTGTAGACTAAAGTTGATAGCTCATCTATTAAGGTTGATAATAACGAATTGTAAGTTTGTAAGTTGAAGTAGAAGTGGAAGCAATTTCATCTCAAATCACGTCAAGGAGATGGCTTCAAAGTAAATGACGAAACAATATCGATTCAACTAGTAAAAATAGACAACATCGAGTTTCTTTGACAATCTTGTATGGTAAAATTCTTCATAATGATTGAATCCATAGCACAGTTAAACCATGTCCTAAACGCAAACTCAGTCAAAAATCTTTGGCATCTTAAGATCGAACATTTTATTTACTACTCGTATAAAGTATCTAGTGATTTTGTCAAATAATGACGATCAAGTTATCGCTAACAAATACATAATCAAGACTTGTCAATTGCTCTCCACTTCCACACAAGTTCACATTTCTGAACGATAACGCTTGCCCAAGCTACACAACGGACTTTTTAATGCAGTTGTAACAAGAACAAACAACCCGGTGATTTTTTTTTAGGGACGTGTAGATTGTATACGTAAATGCCTACGTGGTAGAGTCAAGCTGCAACTATATTATGGTTGTAACACAAATGCTCGACCAGGGAAGGAGCATGCTCACACAAAATACCATGTATCATGAGTGTAGAGAGCTGGAGACCCATTTTACTGGAAACCAGGCATTCCATATTCGATTCACAATCAAAAACTAATAAGTCAGCATTCATACACAGCATCCACTTACCATCAGGAGGACAGGGTGCTTTTTTATAACCCCTTATTCTATAAAAAAAACTATCAATACCTCGCTCAGCAACTTTTGGCATCCTGATACGGCCAGGAGTGATAGGCCACATTTTAGTTTCATTTGCCTATAGTTGGTCAAATCGGATAATAAGTTTATTATAACTTATAATACCTACTTATACAAATTGTGTGTTAAAAAAATTGCTAAATATTTAAATATATTTCAGGATTGCAACAAAGATGGCATAACGAATTGTTTCGACTATATGATGATCAATCACCATGGAGGCGGCGCGTGCACTGAACCCCTATACCTCACACAACTTGGACGTAGGCGTTTGCAACTGTACCAGCAATGTCGTCTGTAGCGCAAGGAGCAATTTATGTTGATCATTTTGGACTTCTAACGTATCAACGGATAAACATTCATAAAAAATACTGTATTAAAATTTAAAATTAATAAACTTATCCACCTGAACATGTTAGGTAAAAATTTCTCTCTCGTTACATTGTATGTATGACAATTTACCCGATTTACTTTCAAAATACTTCTACTTTGATTTTTAAATATGAGATTGCATTTAGTTTTGAAAACATTTGTGAAGTAAATAAATAATATACGTTTAACAAAACTTGAAAAACACATATTGATGAACTGTAATGAGAGTAATAAGTCATAGTCATGAAATTATTGTATTGTAATCGGTTCCTGTAAAATTTCGGATAACAGAAACTGGATTAACTATTTCAACTAAATATTTTAATTTATTTATGCATAAATACTACATCATATAAGTCAAGTTAACGTATCAACGAGTCAGGAAGTTGGCGGTGTCTCACCCTCGTGCTTCGGAAAGCACGTACAGCCGTTGGTCCTATGCCTAATCTCTCTCCGGTCGTGTCGGTTTACCGTCCCATCTGATTATGAGAGTGAGGGAATAGAAAGTGCACCTGTGCTTGCGCATACACTTGGGCACTATAATCCTGTCCTGCGCCGATTGCTAGTCTCTGTTAAGGTAGGCCGCCGTGACCGAAATTCGGTCGAACCGAAATCGGCTGCAGGTGACCTTGGACTGCAGTAGTATCACATCAGTTCAAAATAAAATAAATTTCATTCGTACAGAATGTTCCTGAGGATATAATGATTTCTTATATTTACGCGAACAATACATATTGATTAAAACTACTTTTACGGATTTTGTCGCGTTTAATTATTTAATTTTTAATTACCGACGTTTCGGGTGTTTTTCAGCACCCATGGTCACGGGGGACTGAGGTGACTGACGTCCCGATGTCAGTGTTAACCCGGAGTACCACAGTACCGGAGTAAACCAGCTTTTCAATTATTATTTATGGTACGAAACTAAAACAAAACATTATTGTTTATTTTGAGTTTACTTTGTCCTACCAAAAACGAACAAAACATAAATAATAATTGAAAAGCTGAAGGTACTCCGGGTTAACTCAGAAGTCGGGACGTCACGTCAGTCACCTCAGCCCCCATGACCACGGGTGCTGGAAAGCACCCGAAACGTTGGGAATTAAAAATCAAATAATTAAACGCGATAAAATCCGTAAAAGTAGCTTAAATCAATGATATTATAAATCGTTCTTATAAAATTTCATTAAGTAATAGTTTACTAAATCACGTAACATAGTAATATAAGACGTTCTTACAATTTACTTGTTTGGCTTTTTGATTTCTTAAAAGTATTTTCACTATATGTATGCACATTGTACATATATCTATTAATCAAATAAATGTATTTATAGTAATAAAGAAAATATATTTTTCAGTTTTTTTATTATGTTACAAAAAGTATCTTACGACTTATAAATACATATTTCCATTATTATAATGCTAACATACAAAATAATTAATTTTATTATCTACTAAGTTTTATTGGAACAATTTCAACATAAAAATATATAGATATAGCTCTTAATAACTATAACTAGAAGGCTTAAAAGTTACATAATATCAACTATTTTTTTTCGAATATCGAACAAAAATATAGTTTTATTAAACCTAGAGGACTTAAACGTTACATATATTATATATTTTTCGAAATTTTTTAACGAAATAAGTATTTTTTCTAAGTATCCATTTTGACTTACTGTACAGAATTTTAAAGCACTCAGTTTAACCTAGTTTTTATTCCGAAATATTCTAAAAGTTATACACTAAAAAGCTCTGAAATAAGGCTTGTAGAATTAAAGGTTTGGTCCAGGAAATTAAAGCATATTTACATTTTTTAAACACATCTAAAAGCTTTTTTTAAATCCAATTTTTCTTAAAAGTATGCTTAAATTCGATGAATACAGCTTGTGTATAACTACCTACTCAATAATATTTATCATAGAAGAGTTACTTAAACAAAATATTCCCAAAATAAATTAAACGTAATTGAATTTATTATTGCGATATTTTGTAAGATTTTTGAACGCGTATATTATTAAGTTTCAAGTTTTAAATTCAAGCAAATGTGACAAGCGGAGCAGGTGACTTCCAATGTTCACTGTCCGCTTCTTCGTCCGACTCATCGGGGAATCTAACCTGAAAAACAATTTATGTTTGTAATTAAAATATCAATTTACTTGAAAAATATCAACGATAAATTGAAAACTAACGTCAAATCTACAAATTTTAAGCTAGACTCTCTTTAAAGCTTCATGTGTCACTATCGGTAAATATAATAAGAATATTCTTCATTGAAATTTAAAAAAATGCATGTATCATACCCAGGGTGCTAATCGTTTCCCATTAGACTGAAGAGAGGTGCCTTGGTTTGCTTGCCATGCCTGAAAATAATACACGATATAAATAAGAAAAAGATTTGATGGTCCATCGCTTTTTTTTTCAACACAGTGTATAAAGTTAAAATTCGGACCATAAATGGGCACAGGCTTCCCCTCATTTCTGAGAAACATAATCCACTTGATGGTAAGTGGATGCTATGGCCCATTGATATAACATACATAACATAAACATAAACACTCACGCCTGTCACCCAGAGGGGTAGGCAGAGACTGCAGACTTCCATTTGGCACGATCCTGACACACCTCTCTCGCCTCCTTCACATCCATACACCTACGAATACATGCTCGTCGGTTAAGGGTACTGCTAATTTGGCCCGTTTTCAGTAAATCGCCAATTTGGTCGATAAATTTTCGCCTAGGACGTCCCTTTCCGACTCTGCCATTCACTTCTGCAACATAAATTTTCTTTGTCACTCTTTCCTCATTCATTCTTTCCACATGACCAAACCACCGAAGCATTCCTTTCTTAATCATGGTCACAACATCGTCTTGCAAACCGCACTCTTCTCTTATTACACAATTTCTTACCCTGTCGTTCAGATTCAGCCCTAACATACTCCTTAACGACCGCATTTCTACTGCGTTTATTCTACTTTCGTGCTTCTTCTGCCACACCCAACTTTCACTACCATACGTTAGTTAAAGTAGGGACCAACACAGCATTGTGAATTGCCATACGTGCCTTTTTTGACACATTTTGACTCTTCACAATAGAGTGCAGGGCCCCATTTACTCTATTTCCCGCATTCACTCGTCGTTCTATATCCTTATCATATCTCCCATCTGCTAAATACGCAGCCCAAATATACAAACTCATCTACTTGCTCGATCAACTCCTCTTCTATTCTTATTTCACAAATCGTTTTACTTTCTTCTCTTTCAAAAACCATAACCTTCGTCTTACTTGCGTTCACTTTCATACCCCTTTCATACCCAATTGATATCTACATCTATTATCGATTAAGAATCAAAATGCAGATGCGTTGTCACAACTAAGGAGTAAGATAGAATGCCTCGTTACCAGTAAAAAGGGTTTCCGAAACACAACATTATTCTGCTGTTTTATGCTAGTATGCAACATGCAGGTTTCCTCAATATTATTTCCTTCATCGCCGAGAGGTAATTCAGAACTTGGGCAACTCCAAGCTGCAGCGAATTCTTCTTCAATAATACCAATGAGGTGAAACACCAGAGTAATTTCTTTACACATCATGGCAAATTTTATATAGCACATGTAAAATTACTAATTGGTAGGTCACTTAGGCGTTCCTCTAGGTAGGTACCATCCACCTCCTATTTCCGTCGCCAACTAGCAATACACTGCTGTGTTCTGGTCTAAGGGGTGTAGTTCATATCATCTATAGACTATTCGTTTGAAGTGACATTAACCATCACGTGGAGATTACAAGTTCGTTAGTACAAAAAATATATCATAATAAATCTAGTAATAATATTTAAAGATAAGGATTTTTTAATGATGTGTTGGGTTATTCCGTTTATCCACCCTAGGGTGGATACTCGGAATCGCGTGTTCGTTTATACATCCCAGACGGGGTGGATAATCGGAAATTGTATATTATTTTTCTTCTGATTTTCTTCCTCGGCTGTGTACAGTCGTTTATAAAAACATGATAGATACTGGCCCAAGATTACTTAGTAGAGATTAGCATACTTATAAATACAAATAGTACGGTACTTAACAAATTTTAAAATGTCTTTTATTGAGAGACGAATTTATGCAGGATATACAATTACATCTACTCTATAATGATTATTCAAAACAAGGAAGTTTAACTTGGTTTAAATGCAATACCTAACATGATTTTTGTTTAAGTTTGTGGTTGTTAAAAATTAATCAATAATATGTTAAAGTATGAATATATTTTCTGTTGAACTATACTTGGGGTGGAAAAGCGGGACAATAATCAAAAGTGTATTTCGATTACCCACCCCGTCTAGGGTGGATAAACGAACACGCGTTTCCGAGTATCCACCCTAGGGTGGATAAACGGAAAAATTCGATGTCTGTATTCTTGTATAATTTGTAACCTGGTATGCGTCATTGAAAGCGTGCGCGAGTGACAACGCAAGCGCCCTCGCCTGCTTCCTGCGCGCGCACACGAACACGTGCACCACGTGGCTCTCGTCGGCGCCGTTCGTGTTCGTGCCCTCCACTACAGCGAACACGCGCGCGTTGGCAGCGTCCGCCGAGCAGTACGATATTCTGTGGAACGCAACCGTTAAGTTTAATGTTGTGCAGTGTGTACTGCACTTCATTATGATACTAGCATACATACTGGCAAAATATTGTCAAACAACACGTTTTGCATTTTGCGCTTAAGGAGTGTACTTTGGGGCTTATGGAAGGTCTAAAAACCCCCAAATGCAAAACAAAATGTCGAGAAATATCGTAATATGTCATTACGGTATTCCTTTTAGAAAATGCTGAACCCGCAAGACTGATAGTAGGGAAGAACATTTTAGTGCTATACCGTCTCCAGCTATCTGGTGGTGATGGGAAAATTGCTAACAGCTACATTATTATTAGCAGTTTGCATGGTAATAGCTGTATCTTAGATAGCATATATCTAAGAATATTTTTTTTAACAAAAAGTAAAAAGCAACTTCAAAGAACTAAAAAGAAAAAAAGTAATTCGCGCATAATAGCCTCTAAAGTCGGCTTTTTTCTTCTATATACCATACTACGTCTTAGCATTAGTAATCAATCTTGTAGTTTGTCATAGTAGTCATCATTACATCAATCATCGTCATCATTACAGCCCTTCACAAGTCCACTGCTAAACATAGGCTACCCTCAAAGAATGGCACAATTGTTGTCAAGCACTGGCTTATTAATACTTAAGTAAAAAGGATGGTAAAAAGTACACATGTACCTTAAATTACATACATATTAGGCCAGGGATTGCCAAAGTGGTCGATATCGACCCCTTGGGATCAAAATCGGTTTCTCAGGGGTCGACATAAACGAAGACTGATAATTTGTAACTCTAATTTGTATTAATTACACTTGATTTTTACTGAATTACCATTTATTTTGTTAAATCTTGATGAGAAAATGACGTCAAGTTTACTCACTTAACCAACCGCAAAGTTTTTAAATTGGTAAGTATTTTCTATCAACAGGAAAAAGAACTAGAGATAGGATTTTTAAAGTAATTTGGCTATGGGGGTCTGAGATAACAGTTCATTTTGGAACAGAGGTCCCTTGCCCAAAATATTTTGGGAAACCCTGTATTAGGCAATAAATACATGTTATAGAAGTAAGATGTTACTACAGAAATTCCTTATTCCAAGCCGATACTATAACCAATCATTTTATTTGTATTGCGTGCGGTATTTTTATCACGATTAATTATGTCACATTAGTACATACAATACAGAAATAGTAAGGCATTGACTTTTTAATGTAATAGCGATAAAAAGCCTAATGGTGAAAGAAGTAAATAAATAAAACATTGTGCGTAAAAAACTTGTACCATAAAAAATACGTTATAAATTTAAACCCTATGTCACTACCATAACTAAGTACCATAACTATCTAATCACACCTTATGTTAAAGCCGTTAAGGCTACAGACCGTCTCAAAGAAATAAACATATATACAAAAAATATTACCCTCTTTTTGACGCAGTCGGGTAAAAACTACGTGGTATCCTTCTAGTGAACAGAAGAATATTGTATTTTCAAAGATTTTACATTTATGAGAACAGTTTATATATTTTTTATAGGATGGTGACAAACTAGCACTGGTAAGTGGTTGCTGTGGCCCATAGACATCTACATTTAACCTCGATTAAGAATCAAAAAGCAGATGCGTTGTCACCCTTGGGGATTAAGATGGAATGCCTCGATTCCAGTAAAACGGGTCTCCGATTCTCTACACTCACCATACGAAACACAGCAGCATTAAGCTGTTATTTTACGCTGGTATTCCGTGAGAGCGTGGTCCTTGCCCGGTTGACCCGACCCATTCATGCTACAACCATAATATAGCTGCAGCGTGGCTCTACAACGTACAAAATATATTTACTCACACTGTAGTCATTCTTATTTTTAGGAGATTTCGGGTTGGCATGAGGGACTCTAGCTGCCTGTCAAGATCACGGCATCGGAAGCAGTTAATTGAGTGATTGGCGCCAATATTATTCTTTGTGACCAGGCTATCTATTTATGATACTTATTTAATCATTGAGTAGACGTACAGTCAAGCTCTTAAATAATTTACTAACGTGATTAGTCGTCGTTGCAACGTTAGCTATGGCGACGTTTTGTACAATGTATACTGCACTTTATAAAATACGTGTGTGTACGACGTAACTTGGAACCACGAACGGTCTGCCAGGTATGTATAATGCCACCGTACCCTGTTAGAGCACTACTAGACAGCTCTTAAATAATTTACTAACGTGATTAGTCGTCGTTGCAACGATAGCTATGGCGACGTTTTGTACAATGTATACTGCACTTTATAAAATACGTGTGTGTACGACGTAACTTGGAACCACGAACGGTCTGCCAGGTATATATAATGCCACCGTACCCTGTTAGAGCACTACTAGACAGCTCTTAAATAATTTACTAACGTGATTAGTCGTCGTTGCAACGTTAGCTATGGCGACGTTTTGTACAATGTATACTGCACTTTATAAAATACGTGTGTGTACGACGTAACTTGGAACCACGAACGGTCTGCCAGGTATGTATAATGCCACCGTACCCTGTTAGAGCACTACTAGACAGCTCTTAAATAATTTACTAACGTGATTAGTCGTCGTTGCAACGATAGCTATGGCGACGTTTTGTACAATGTATACTGTACTTTATAAAATACGTGTGTATACGACGTAACTTGGAACCACGAACGGTCTGCCAGGTATATATAATGCCACCGTACCCTGTTAGAGCACTACTAGACAGCTCTTAAATAATTTACTAACGTGATTAGTCGTCGTTGCAACGTTAGCTATGGCGACGTTTTGTACAATGTATACTGCACTTTATAAAATACGTGTGTGTACGACGTAACTTGGAACCACGAACGGTCTGCCAGGTATGTATAATGCCACCGTACCCTGTTAGAGCACTACTAGACAGCTCTTAAATAATTTACTAACGTGATTAGTCGTCGTTGCAACGTTAGCTATGGCGACGTTTTGTACAATGTATACTGCACTTTATAAAATACGTGTGTGTACGACGTAACTTGGAACCACGAACGGTCTGCCAGGTATGTATAATGCCACCGTACCCTGTTAGAGCACTACTAGACGGTTTTATCATTTTTCTGTAATGACGGTTTCAGGATGGACAGTAAAATTTCTATAAATATCCGTGTTGCCACCCTCCCTCGTGCCTCTTCGTAGCTACGCTCATGGTACTCAGGGATTTTAGGGGTAAACCAAATTCTTCTCGAAACACCATCCTCAACTATAGAATACTTTTAATTAACAAACTAGGCTCCGGCAACTGAAAAAAGGCGATATATCTACTCGAAATTGATTGGTGGTGCAACATTAATTGAGTCAGTGTCTGTCCAATGTAATAAGTATGGGAAAATCTTTCATGAATTGCTTAATTTGTCGTATTCTCCGAAGATGAAAAATAATTTTGGGTGGGTAATTTGGTAACTCTAACTATTAACAATTAATTCCGTATATTAAAATAATATACAACTATCGTATCATCCTCTTCCTATCTCAAATATACTACAGATCTCCTCAAAAACTGCCATAAGGACGATCCTAAGCAACTGGCATCCATCGATTTCCCGCCTGTTTCACGAGGTCTCTACATTAAGTAGTGAATCGTCTTAAATTGGGTTTGCCACTGGATACCTCTTGGGAACCCATAGACAATTCATATCTAATGTTAAAATTTCAATAAATCTTCAAACTCGATTTAGTAGTAATACTACAGTGATGGGGTGAGTGGTGGACTACGCATATTAAAATATTAACTAAGTAAATATGAACGAAATCGATAGCGTCTTTCGTTCCTTTTTTGTTTTCCTCTTTTTGTTTTTAGTTTTTTCAAGTGTGCAGTTTCTTCTCTGTCAATATGTTTACAGCAAAAATACAGCAAAAAGTTGGAAAATAAATTTGCAGCCGTTAGCGATAATAAGACCTGGTAAGACAGCAGGAAGTCGACGGATGCAGGTGGCTCAGGACCGTGCTTTGTGGCATTCCTTGTGGGCTGTAATGTTGATGATGGTGAAGTGATAATATAGGTCCCTATCTAAAATGAATTTATTTACCTGTATATTGATACACTTAAGACGCTTTCCTGCGAGTCGACGTCGGTGACCAAAATCCCCTTGGCACTGATATCCAGGCTCACCCTTTGCAACTTTTTATTCGAAGCTGAAAAAACAGAAATTTAATCAGTAAAACGATCGTAATAGTTACTCAAGTTTTCATTCTTTCTTTTCAGTCAAGTCTTTACCATAATAATGATTACCTCTTTGAAAATGCGAAAATGATACAAACTAAAGAGTCTTTACCATTTATGCCCTCAACATCGTTTTTTTATCAAAAATATATAACTTATTTGCTATATTTAACATAAGTTCTTGTGTATTTCCATCAATATCAATAATTTATAATACAGTCCCTTCTATGAACGCATCTTAGCCAAACCTATTTTACTCGCATATATGAAACTTGATATAGCTTATGTGCAGTGAGAACGAATCGTTTTTTTTAATACTTATCATCCTAAAATATAATTCTTGTTGATACTTAGTATTTAGTATTTAGGTATATGTTAGTAGGTATTTAGTATGTATGAAGACATGTCAATGTACGTCTTTACAGGTTTTGTTGCAGTCTGCATCTAATATCGATTTTTTTTAATAATTGATAAAATAGGAAACTAGTAGTTAGATTTAATGTAATCATCACGCTTATTGGTCTTCGAAACGGGCGACTTTTGTAAATATCCCACCATTTTTCAGTGAAAAAAAAACTTCAAACAATTTTCTTTATTTTCTTATTCCTTCCATTATTCATTCAATTACAGCTTATTAAAGTCCACTGCTGAACATAGGGCTCCACCATAGATTGCCTCGGGGGATTTTGCCATAAGGTATGTGAGGGTAATATGGTCACCAGCTTTGCCGCCCTTTAGAACCATGGAAGTACCTCTATCCTCCATACGACGGGCGTTCAATCTATTCTCGGTGTTAGGGTGATTTGCTAATAATGTGGGTAATTAAAAAAATAATTAGCTAGCGACACTGAGGGCTGGGTTCTGAAATGTTCCCAGTATACTGGTGAATGCAAGTGACGTCATTAATTGACGCCATATTGTACTGGCGTGCCGTCGCTAAATTGTGGCGGATATCCACCATATTAAAACAATTTTTAATTGTGTGTGCGCTGAATGAACCATGCCAGAATTTGTTTTTATTTAATCAAATACAAAAAATTATAGAATTATTGCTGGTATCTGTATTCTTCACAAATATAGCGCAAATGTATGATGTCATATACTGGCTATTGTTTTGAAACGAAACGATTTATGACGTCATTTGCTTTGGCCAGTACACTGGTTTCTATTTCGGAACACACTCGAGGTATAAATATGAAATTTTGTCCAGATAGCTTCGTTACTTCTTATCTAACCTTCAGTCATAGACGACAGGAATGACTGACTCGACAATGTTGTAGTTAAATTCCTCACTTAACAAGGAAAAACTCAAATAAACATCCATGAAGAAATGGTGGCCGTTTATCAAAGAAATTTAAATATATATACTATAGAGCGGGCACTGGGAATATTTGCATGTAAAAACTGTGAGCGCGCGCGTATGTTAAGCCCTCCAGCGAAAAATAGCAATACTACGCTAAATATTTATTTGGAAAACATTTTAGCTATTTCCCGTTAGATGACTCTTCTAAATATAAGATAAAATCTGTTTTAGGCACGTCTATCGTATTTGTAAATAAATAGTGACGTTACTGGATATCAGAGGGCACTTATTACAATATTTTTTCTTTCTCCTAGAACAATCTACCAGAAATAATAAAATTTAAAGATTATTTGGAGAATATACATTATTATTAGGATAATAAACCGAAATCACGTTCATTTATTGCTCCATATCGTAACTTACTTCTTTTTCTTTTTCATTCTGACTTTCGTCTTTGCCGTTTATCAAGACTGCTCTTACAATGTCAACTGTACAGAAGTACAGAAGTGGTCAAGTACCTTTACTATTGATGTCATGTGAGACTATATTAAAAAATAAAAAATATTTCATAATTTTATCTTTTTCTAACATACCCATACCGAGAACACATTGAACGCCCCTCGTATCTAAAACCAAAACTAGAAGGAGGACATACACAAAAACACGAAGTCGTATACTATAACCAATATATAAAGAAATAAATGGCAAACATTCTTTGGTAATAGGTAGGAACACTTCGCAAAATCAACTTAAAAAAAACTAACAACACTACGCAATAATATCAACTGTCAAAATGGCGTCAATAAAGCAGCAACCTTTTGACACTTTATTATTTGATTGATTGATGAAGAGCTATCGTATCACAGAGCCATCTATGATACGATATGCAAACAAGGCTGTAGTTTTTAATTTATAAGAAGCTGTTCAAATTGTCGGCGACCGAGCTCTTTCCTATCGGCTTGACTCACTGGCACTGCGAAGAGATGTTGCATCTCTTTGTGTATTTTATCGCATTAACCACGGGGAGTGCTTTGAGGAATTGTTCGGATTAATCCCAGCCGTCAAATTTCATGAATGCACATCGCGGCAAAACTCCCGATATCAGCCACTCCATTTGGATGATTGGCGGCCCACCACTGGGATTTAAAAGAAGTTTTCTTCCTCGCACAATTTCCTTGTGGAATAGACTACCACAAGAGATTTTTCCGGACCGATACGATTTAGGAATTTACGATACGACTAAGAAATTTTATAAGAAAGTGTCCATATTAACCGGATTATCGTATGAACTTCATTTCTTCTGCCATGCTAGGCAGGCGGATTGCAACCGCACTTTTTTGTATCTAATTTTGAGTTATCATCAGTTTCGCTCTGTCGCCAGTTACGACACGCACGGCACGATATGGGGTTACGTTACATCAATAGACGGTTTCTTCTTCGTTATCAGTTCCTAAAGGTTCACTCCCGATGCATGGAGTTCAGTCCCAGTCATGCTTGACAGACAGATTGACGGCCGCGGTACCAGATGTCTTGTACATATGTCGTTACACTCCATCGTCAGTCGAGTAATTATTTAATTTCACGACGCAGTAAGAATTAAAATATATACGAACATAATGGGATGATTCCGCAGGACTATAAAATAATCTTTTTTTTTTTCTGTATAGCTTGGTTTCTATTAAAACTATAAAATAATAAACTAAAGTTTCGCTTAACATTGCGCTCTAACATTACTTACGTCATTTTGGTAGGTGTGTGAGAAAAATGAAATAAAAATGTATTTCATTATATTATTTTTTCATCATTTTTCATTTTAGTATTTACTTGTATTTAAATTGTTACTCTTACCGTGGAGTGACGGTGTAAGAATTTCCTCTACCCCATGTCATCCCGTGGGTGTCGTAAGAGGCGACGTAGGGAAACAAATCAGGAGATGGGCAGCAGCGTCTTTCCAATAATGATTTAAAAAAAACTGCGGTTGCCAACCCGCTTGCCAGGTGTGGCAACTTTGCCAAATGTCCCCTCTATGAGGAAATCTTTGGGGAAGGCCTATGTTCAGCAATGGACTTTAATAGGCTGTACCGTTATTAGGTAACTGTAAATTGTTAATCGTTTAAGTCGTGATCGCCAAAGCGGTATGCTATGATGGTGTAATAAAATAGACTTTTTTATGGAATAATGATAAGAAAAAAGTACACAGTTCACTTTATGGTAAATTGATTCGAGGCCCATAGGCATCTACATTATTATCCTTGATTAAGAATCAAAATGCTGAGGCGTTGTCGTCGCTGGAGACTAAGATAGAGTGCCTCATTTCCAGTGGAAAGGTTCTTTAGATATTTGGGGATTGAGAGATTTGTGGACATTTAGACAGTGTAGTTTTCATAAAATCAAGCACTATCAAGCTCAATCGTATTATTACTCTGTGCAATTGTAGCCTGTATTAGACACATATCGTTGAAGCATTGAAATGTTTTATAGCTAGTATAGTTAAATGTAGTAATTTCTTTGCGAAGTGAAATTCTTTAATCAACGCGCTCCAGGCCATTTACGTGATCTCTCGCTGCAGTTAACATTTTACACCCTATTTATTTCCTAATAGAGAAAGCTTGCGGGACTCGTTTAGACCAAGCACAGAATTGTATAACCATTAATTACACTACAGCCCCTTAGCCATGGCGTTTAACGTACCTGCATGTAAAGTCGACGGCTCCGTGCGCAGTAGCTTAGCATTAAGTTGCAGCGCTAAGGGCCGCGGGTTCGAATCGTACACGGTACAAGTATTTGTATGTTAAGATAAAGTTGAAGTTACAGCCTATATACGACAGCCTTATCATTGCTGGGCACAGGCCTCCTTTCATTTCTAAGAGGGTTTTAGGGCAAGGAATAGTCCCCCGCGCTGCCCCAGTGCGTGTTGGCGATTTTTGTTATTTCTTTGACTTGCAGGTTACCTCACGATATTTTCGTTCACCGCCTAGCACGTGGTAAATTAGCTCTTAAAGTTGCAATTAACAATTTCATTGGTGCCAGCGGGGATCGAACCCGGGTTGCTCGCGTAATGTAAAAACTTTACAGGAAGCGCTAACCGTCTGAGCTACGACGGCTCAGTATTTGTATGGCCTATAAATAATTGTTGTGGTGCTGAATGTTTGTTGTTGCGAAATTTTTGTATGTAAACTGCCCCCAAGATACAGGAGAAAATCCTAGTTAAGAGGTAACTTAAAAAAAGAAATGTAAAGGAACCTGGCTTCAAAATCATACCGTTGTGCTAGTCTGTCCATTCATATTAATTATCGACTATCGTGCAAATTACACAATATTTCCCTTGTTATTATATAGACAATCTGGTTAAAATACTATTTTTATCAAACTTCTAGTCTTCAGTCCACCTTTAGGGCGTGAATATAAACATTTATTTTTTCAATACTAGCAATGTTATTCTATATGCTTAAAATGCTTGTGTTAGGAGTGGTTCACGACAACTCACGATCTTTTGAGTTCGCGGACCCCGCACTCTTGCCATTTAGGGTACTGTCGCTTTAAACACTAACATGTTTTTAGCTTCTCTTTCTTTCTTTCTTTTTAAGCCTACTTTTAACGGTATGCAGAGCTGAGCGAACAGCGAGCGCAGTAGCGGGAGCAGAAGCGGCGCGCTCTACCGGCGCCACGCCCGCGTACCGCACGTCACTTTGTCCGCTTCCCTCGCGAGCTTCGCGCCACCAGCCCTCGCCTTCGCATTCTGCCAGTGCCCATTCTTCACATAACTCTGTAAAAAATATAAAAAATTCTTCTTAAAATTTAAGTTTCCCCCGCACTATAATTTTGTGGAGGCAGTTTACACAAGGACAAATATCCAGATCCGGAACAATTATTTGTAAGTGTCATACAAATACTCGTTCTGTGTGGGATTCCATACAGCGGCCATCGGCGTAACTCAATAAGCAATGGAGCCGTCAAAAATGTCAGTACTCAAATCTCTTCTTAATTCTGTGAAATAGCCTGCATAGCATGGCAACTATGGCAAATATGGGGAATATTCGAGAAAATCCTTATTGAAGTCGGTTAAAATTATCATAAAAGGACATAAACTTTACAAATTAAGTCGTATATGACACATTAACCACTAAGGGCGCTAAAATCGCGTTAAAGATTATTGTAGAAAGCGTTGACAAGTCAAGTGAACGACCTGTTGTAGAGATAAAGTAATCACATCGCTTCTGTTCCGATTTCGTATCGACCGTTTTATTATATCAGGAGACATTATATTAATTAATATCTTGGCATTAATAAGCTCGGTGTTGCAGCAATAATTGTTTATAAATGTACGGTTGAAAAATTAGCTAAGGAAAATATACACAGTTGTCGCTTGTAATTGCAATGTGATTTATCTGGACCAAGATTAAAAAGATATTTAGAGCATTATGTTTTTTTAAAAAAAAGGAATAAGTAATGATAATAGAGCATATAGTCCACCTAGGGTTGCAACATGGTCAGGATTCGTCAGGATTCTCTCGACATTTTAAATGATCTCCAGACTCCCGACAAAACTTAAAATCTCCGGTCAAATAGTATGGCCTTAGATTTAATAAAAGCTGAGTTAGTAATTAGACTGAACTTTGAAGCAAATTGTTTTAATTTTAAATATTTTCTGAAAATTACTAAAGGATCTAAATTGGTGGACTCAGTAAAGTCTAATGCCAAATACACGTGGCAATATAAACATTAAGTGTACTTAAATTAATTTTATTTAAATTATTTTTTGTAGCCACCTAATTTAAAAAAATAAACTTTTTATTTTTAATATTCATTTCTCCCGACAACAACCCCAAAATCCCGACTTTTTCAAATTTTTGTCAGATATTTTGGTCTACCTATCTGGCAAACCTAAGTCCAAATGATACTCGTATATTTGGATACTGTGACCGGGGAAGGAACACGCTCTCACAGAATACCAGCGTAAAATAGCAGCTATAATTGCTGTGTTTCGTATGGTGAGTATAGAGATCCGGAGACCCTTTCTTACTGAGAACAAGGCATTCCATCTTAGCCCTCAAGGGTGACAACGCATTTGCAGTTTGATCATTATTTGAGGATAAATATGGATGTCTATGGGCCACAACATCCACTTACTATCAGGTGGACTGTGTGCTCGTTTATCACCCAATGCTATAAAAAATGGAGTGATGGATGTCTACGCTACGGCAAAGGTTTTACAGCGGTCGAAATCAGTAATTTAATCCACTACCCTTTGTAAAGTTATGTTCGTGATTTAAAACTGTTCTTTATATCGTATGACACTGTTTTCTGAACGAAACATTTATCAACTAACAATTAGACATTTATTTTATTGATACGCATTTATCTAGGCCAGACAGTGTTTGATAGCGCAACTGGGCCAGGGGTCAGCATATTAGGCGCAATAAGAAGCGTCTGATCTACACCGATTATGATCAGTCTGTTTCTACATTCAGTCGTTTAACTCATAATAGATACGACGTAAATAGGAATTATTGACGTCAATCGAACAGTACCTTCAAGCAATTATTTTGGGGGAGGGGGTCGCTCAAGGCGACAGCGTCAATGAGTCAATCTGATATCATACCAATTCGGGTTGCTGACTAGGGTTACATCACTACTTACATCAGATGGAATAGTTAAACATTGGTACATTCTTGCGACAGCAATCATGCAGCTCCAGCGTGACTCTACCAAGCTTAAAAACTAATCAGCTTGTTCAGTTCTATTATAGCCATACGGCTGTGCACCCACTAGGGTGTTAGGATTAATGTTATTAGCATAAGAGCCAGTATATAACAACATTTACTCGTACACGCTGTGAAGCATCAAGCTTACTTCTAAGAGATAAAACTCATCTAGGCGATTTATTTTTTAAGTTATTATAGGTGTGATATTGTGTGAGAAGGGATAGAGGGGGGGGGGGGGGTGAAGTTATTAAAGGCTATAACGACACACTTTAAAATCTAAAATAATAAAGCGCGAGATTTATATGTAAACTAAAAACTTAAAAATATTACTAACTCAATTTATATTTATAAGGCTTATGTAGGTTTAAGTCGTCGTCGAGTGCACGCTCGTTATCCAACTGTTTATCACTTTGTCCGTTATCTAAAATATATCTCTCTATTTTGATTTTATTAAAGATTTTTTAATTTCAATAAAAATATATATAAAAACTGCTGTTTTAACACTTTCACTGTCCCATTTTCAGACACAATAGTAGGACAATAGCAATGACCTATATGCAGTGCACGGGATAGCGATGGGGTTAATTTAATTATTTCTGAAATATCAAATTAAAAATATGTGACGTCACACCAGGGGTGGGGGTTTCTTTGTCCCATTATATATAAATAAAAAGTTATTAACTTATTATATTAAATTATTATTTTATATTATATATATATATTTAGTTTAACTTCATATATAACCGGGTGACGTTATTTCCCCGAAACTTTTCACCGCTGCGTTGGAAGACGTTTTCAAGCTACTGGACTGGAAAGGATACGGTATTAACATCAATGGCGACTACATCACTCACCTTCGATTTGCTGACGATATAGTCCTTATGGCAGAATCGCAGGAAGACTTAAGTACTATGCTCAATGAACTCAATGATGTCTCAAAACGGGTAGGTCTTAAGATGAACATGGACAATACAAGATCATGTTTAATGTCCATGTCACACCTAGGCCGGTAGTTGTTGGGAGCACTATGCTCGAAGTTGTTGACGTGTACGTTTACGTGGGACAAATAGTCCGACTAGGTAAGTCCAACTTCGACCGAGAGGTCAATCGACGGATTCAACTCGGCTGGGCAGCGTTCGGGAAATTACGACACATCTTCTTGTCAGATATACCTCAAAACCAGTGCGTGTTGCCAGTGTTGACCTACGGAACCGAGACGTGGTCCTTCACTGCTGGCCGTATGAGGACGCTCAAAGTCGCTCAGCGACTATGCTCGGGGGGAGAGGGCTATGCTCGGGGTTTCTCTGCGTGATAAACATAGAAATGAGGATATCCGCAGTAGAACCAGAGTGACCGACATAGCCCAACAGATTAGTAAGCTGAAGTGGCAATGGGCCGGCCATATAGCTCGAAGAACCGACAACCGTTGGGGAGAAAAGGTTCTCGATTGGCCGCCTCGTACCGGTAGGTGAAGTGTAGAGCGACCTCCCACTAAATGGAGTGACGACCTGGTAAGACATGCAGGAAGTCGATGGATGCAGGTGGCTCAGGACCGTGCTTCGTGGCATACCTTGGGGGAGGCAGATTCAGCAGTGGACTTATGAAGGGCTGTAATGATGATGATGATTATTATTAAATAAACGTTATTAATTATTGAATATTTCAAGTGTTTGATTCTATTTAGCTCGATCCTGACACACCATTCTTGATTCTTTCATCATCATCATCATCATTACAGCCCTTCACAAGTCTACTGCCGACATAGGCCTGCTTCCATTGACTTCCTTGCACTTGTTTCTTTCACATCTATGTAATATCTATTATGAATGTCCCTTAAAGATAGGTACTCCTAATTTGGCCTAGTTTATATGATAATTTAATAGCCTAAGTGCGGATATAATTTCTAATAACCGAAGTGCGGATATACCTAAGTTTAGTCGGCTATAACTACAACTAAATAAAATCTATTCTATCTTTACTATATTCTAACTTCACAATTCAGGCCTTTACTCGCACTACTAGCACTGAACTACCTTAGCACTACCTTAGCACTGAATTCAGAAGCTATTATATGCGACCTATTTTTTTAGGTTTTTTTTTAATTATTTGAAGTTTAATTATTTTAACCTTTTGAGTGGTCTAAAGGTGTTACCACACCAATTAGTCGATCATCGATCGATAGTATCGGTAGAATGGATAAGTCGACGTCCATCGATAGCTTCTATCACACCAATCGAGCGATCGCACCGGTCGATGGTAGAAAGGATTAGTCGACGTCGATTAATAGCTTCTATCACACCAATCGATCGATCGCACCGGTCGATGGTAGAAGGGATAAGTTGACGCCGATCGAGCTGCTTGATTCGAGAACCTGTCCCGCTCCAGTGGCCACATCGAATAATTGTCGATGGACGTCGATCGATGATTTAACAATGTTATATCGACCATTATTCGTCGATTAGCTACAGCTGCCACACCAAGCGATGGACATCGATTGACGTCGATCAATGGCATCGATCCACTATCGATCGATTGGTGTGGTAACACCCTAAGATATATCAAAAGTTCAAGGTAACAATTAGAATGCCGTTTAAATAGGTACATTAAAATCTTCAGCCCCTACTTTTCCACCCTTAGGTATGAAATTATTTCTTTTAATTTTATGGGACCATTCCTGAAGCATAATCATTGAAAATTCAGCCGTTTCCGAGAAATCTGTGATCATACATTAAAAAAACAGCATCTAATATAGCACTTTGATGTTTTTTTTTGTAACCGATATTGTAAAAAATTTACAATCATTGACAGTTGATATACGGCAATTTACGTATTCTGAGAAGAAAAAAACAAGAAAGTTAATAAATACTACTGTTTTAATAATGCAAATAAATTGCGATGTTTATGATGAACGCTCACAATTTACGCAAATTGAATATTGACTCGTTGTTGTACCTACTTGTATATATAAACAAAGACATAAATCTAGTTCAGCTTATCCGCTTATCTACAGAACTAACCATTGCAACTCACAACGTAGAGCTTGACGAGATGATGACCTTGT